CGCGCCATTGCACTCCAGCCTGGGTAACAAGAGTGAAACGCCGTCTCAAAAAAAAAGTAAACAAAATTTTAGCAAATCGGGTCTAGCAATATATAAAAAGATAGGACATCATGACCAGGTAGGTAAGATTCCTCCCAGAAATGCAATGTTGCCTCAACAATTGAAAATCGGTCAATGCAATTAACCATATTAACAGAACAACAACAAAAACATCACACTATCATCTCAATAGAGGCAGAAAAAAATTCTGACGAAATTTAATACTAGCAGCCAGCACAGTGGCTCACGCCTGTACTTCCAACACTTTGGGAGGCCCAGGTGGGTGAATCACCTGAGGTCAGGAGTTCAAGACCAGCCTAGCCACATGGTGAAACCCTGTCTCTACTAAAAATGCAAAAATTAGCCAGGCATAGTGGCGTGTGCCTGTAGTCCCTGCTACTCAGAAGTCTGAGGCAGGAGGACTGCTTGAGTCCAGGAAGGTCAAGGTTGCAGTGAGCCATGATCATGCCACTGCACTCTAGCCTGGGAGAGAGTGAGACTCTGTCTCAAAAAATAAATAAATAAATAAATACTTGTGATAAAAGCTTTCAGTATACTGGGTGACAGAGTGAGACTATGTCCCCTGCCCCAAAAAAAGTTTTGATTTTTTTTTTTTTTGAGACGGAGTTTCGCTCTTGTTACCCAGGCTGGAGTGCAATGGCGCGATCTCGGCTCACCGCAACCTCCGCCTCCTGGGTTCAGGCAATTCTCCTGCCTCAGCCTTCTGAGTAGCTGGGATTACAGGCACGTGCCACCATGCCCAGCTAATTTTTTTGTATTTTCAATAGAGACGGGGTTTCCCCATGTTGACCAGGATGGTCTCGATCTCTTGACCTCATGATCCACCCGCCTCGGCCTCCCAAAGTGCTGGGATTACAGGCTTGAGCCACCACGCCCGGCCAAAAGTTTTTAAAAAGAAAGAAGTTAGACACAAAATACTACATACTAATTTATTTATTTATTTATTGAGACAGAGTCTCACTCTGTCGCCCAGGCTGGAGTGCAGTGGCGAGATCTCAGCTCACTGTAACCTTTGTCTCCCGAGTTTAAGTGATTCCTGCCTCAGCCTCCCAAGTAGCTGAGATTACATGTGCCCACCATCACGCCAGGCTAATGTTTTAAAATACTACATACTCTATGATTCTATTTAAACAAAATTCTAGAAAAGGAAAATCTTGGGCCGGGCGCGGTGGCTCACGCCTGTAATCCCAGCACTTTGGGAGGCCGAGGTGGGTGGATCACAAGGTCAAGAGATCAAGACCATCCTGGTCAACATGGTGAAACCCCGTCTCTACTAAAAATACAAAAAAGTTAGCTGGGCATGGTGGCACGTGCCTGTAATCCCAGCTACTCAGGAGGCTGAGGCAGGAGAATTGCCTGAACCCAGGAGGTGGAGGTTGCGGTGAGCCGAGATCGCGCCATTGCACTCCAGCCTGGATAACAAGAGCGAAACTCCGTCTCAAAAAAAAAAAAAGAAAAAGAAAAAAAGAAAAGGAAAATCTATAGTGATAGATCAGTGGTTGCTAGGATTCAGGTAGGGGAAGAAGCTTGACTACAAAACGCTACAAGGGAACTTTCTGGAATGTCAAAAATGTTTATTCTATGTCATGAGTGTGGTTGTGGTTACACGACTGTATACATTTGCCAAATCTTATTGAACAGCGCAATTAAAATTAATGAATTTCACTGTATGCTAATCATATCTTATTAAAGCTGGAAAAAAAAAAAGTCATTCTGGAGCTGCTGCTGCAGTGACCTGGAGGAGGAACGTGCACGCAGAGAGAGCACAAGGAAGTCAGACTGGGAAACCCGAGGCAATCACCTCGACAGCCCACTGAGAGCAACTGCGGAACACCGCCTCTGGGAAGGAAATGGGGAGGAGCCACTGCCTTAAAAAAAACCTCTGCAGATTTGCCAGGGAGCCGCCTCCTGCCTGACTCTCACATGATGACCTGGAGGCCTCAACGCTCACTCTTCTTCTACCTCCCGCTCCTCACCCCAGCACCTGCTGGGGACTCTGGCCCTCCCTTCCACTCCGTGGGGCTCCTAATCTAACCAGTTCCACTGGCCGCCTTCCTGCAGCCAGAAACAGGCTCCGTTCACCTTTCCCAGTTATTATCCACTCAGGTGAATGGACACAATTAGATGATCATCTGCAGGCTGTCTTCTTGTCATCATTGGCACACAACCACCACACACACTCCTCACGTGCACACCATCATGTGCATGCCTTTACATACACACCTTCACACACCCACACCCTCATACACACACACGATCACACACACACCTTCATACAGGCGCATACACATGCACACACCATCACACAGGTACACACCTTCACACACACCCTGACATACATACATGTACATCCTCACACATGCACACATTCTCACAGTCATATGCCCACACCCTCACATGCACACACACCCATGCACACCCTCACACACACACCCTCACATGCATACTCCCTCACACCCTAACACCCTCACACGCACACACACATGCACACATCCTCACATGCACACACCCTCAGATGCACACACACATGCACACACCCTCACACGCACACACACATGCACACCTCAGACGGACACACCCTCACACACATGCACACACCCTCACATGCACACTCACGCACGCACACACAGACACACCCTCACACGCACACATGTGCACTTGCATTTTAAAATTTGTTTTTGTCCCTTTTAATCCCATCCTCCATCTCGTTGCTCCTCCCCGTCTCCCGGGCTCTTCATATTCTGCTCCTTCGGGCCACAGTCTCTGTGAGAGCCGTTCCTGTTGACAGGCACTTGGCTCCTTCGTCCTTTCCACTGCCCACAGACTCTGCCATCTGCACATGCGCCCCTCCCACACAATTGGGGGCCTCCTTCTCCATGTCCTTGTCTGCCTCCTCTTTGTCTCCCACCTCTTACAAACCCTCCAGGGCCTTTTAAATACCACCTGTCTGCTTCCTCCAGCCCCGCTGCCCAGTGTTAAGTGGGTCACACCATTTCTCTCCTGGGTGACAGCCACAGCCTCCACCAGCCTCCCTGCCTCCACTCTTCTCTGTACAAGCCCATGTGCTCCTGGGGCAGGTCCTTTCATCTCTGCAGCCACAGTGCTGGGCCAGCAACACTTGCAGTTGGTGAGCGGAGGGTTCTGATGAACTGCTGGATAGAGGAGGGACAAACAGTGTCCCTCCAGTCTGCCTCCTGTCCTATTCTGCTCAGACACTGGACTGGCAGATCAGTGGCCATGCCTTGGCCCTTTCTGCAAGTCTTAGAGGGACCAGTGAGAGGCATGCACAGTGGGGGACCTCGCCAGGCTGGAGTGCAATGGCACGATCTCAGCTCATTGCAACCTCCGCCTTCCAGGTTCAAGCAATTATCCTGTCTCAGCCTCCCCAGTAGCTGGGATTACATGCGGGCACCACCATGCCCAGCTAATTTTTTTGTATTTTTAGTAGAGATGGGGTTTCATCATGTTGGCCAGGCTGGTCTCAAACTCCTGACCTCAAGTGATCTGCCTGCCTCCACCTCCCAAAGTGCTAGGATTACAGGCGTGAGCCACCACGCCTGGCCCCACTCTGCTCCTGTTAATGCCGGAGGGAAGGGGCTTGGGGCAGCCTGGTGCCATCCCTGCTGACTCATGTGGACCTGGCATGAATCAGCACAGTCTGCCCTTCTTTTTCAGCACCCAAGGGGTGGCTGCCCAGGGCCTCTCTCCTGGCACAGCTTCATGCAGCGCCCGCCTGTGTGCCCCTGCGGCCTCCAAGCCCTTGCCATGGTGGTTCTCAGTTCCTCCTGGGAACCCTGGCAGAGCAGAGTAGTGCCGGGTCCTGGTCTGGCTTCTTGCATTCCAGAGGAGACCACCATGGGGACCCTTCCTCCAGACTCTTCCCCAATTTAACAACAGAAGTGAGGAGTCCAGGGGGCAGAGATTACCACAGGCCTGGCCACATTGCTAGGGGAGCCCCCGGCCCACTGCTGAGATCCAGCCGTGTACAGCCTCGTTCAGGCAGAGAACCTGATAAGGAGATGGTTGCCTGCTCACCCCAAAGGCTGGCATGGATTCCTCTGCCCAGCCAGCTTTAGACAGAGAGAACAAAGGCTTTCCCAGGGTCCTGTCAGTCCCCAGCCCCGCCCATCTTATCGCCATAGTTCACCCTCAATCACCAAGTCCCATTGCACAGAAGGGGAAGCAGGTGTCGAGAGCTGGCATGGCCTGTTCAGGGTCCCCAAATTCTCTGCCAATTGAGGGAGGCCATGTCCCATTCCGTTGATCTGGGTGCCATTAGGAAGGCCATTTCTGCACTTCTAGGCTAGTGACAGCGTGTGGTTATTGGGGACAGCACAAGCATGTGGAATGGTGTGCAGGTGTGTGCATGTGTGTGGTGTGGTATATGGCTGTGTGGTGTGTGCTATATGGGGTGTGTGGTGTGGCGTGTGTACGGCGTATGGGTGTGTGGTGGTGGGTGCGGGTGTGGTGTGTAGCTGTGTGCTGTGGTGTGTGCACGGCACGGCGTATGGGTGTATGGTGGGTGCGCATGTGTCTGTGATGCATGGCTGTGGTGTGGTGTATGCATGGTGTGTTGTGTACGCATGTGGAATCATAGTGGCAGGGGGTGGTGAGTGCCTAGCACTGTCTCTGGAGAATGGCCACCCCGTGTTCCCACCACCCTGACAGAGCCAGGAGGGGCAGGAAGGGGAGGCCTTGGCCACGGGCCAGACTGGAGCCTGGTCTGCAAGGCTGTTTTGGTCTCTGGCCTCACGGGCCAACAGAGAAGACAGACAAACAGGAAGAAAGCGGCTGCTTGGGCTGGGCTGGGCTGGGCTGAGCCAGGCCTGGGTGCGGGGTGCGGCGGAGTGGAGAGAGAACCACTGGGATGGGGGCTGGGGGGTGTGGAGCCGGGGAAGGAGAGAGGTATTGGGGGAGGGAGGAGGAGGGCCCAGCCCTGAAGCCCTGGCGGCTCCCCCTCAGGTCCCTGCACCTGAAACAGGTACAGGGAAGGTGCGCCCACACTCACAGCATGTTCAAGACATGAGCAAGCGACTCCTCGTCATGTATGTGTTTGTGGCTGTGTCGTGCATGTGAGGGCATGTGTGGCAGGAGGGAGCCCCTGAGCACACGGAGGTCCCCAGCCCCTCTTCCAAGGACAGGTAATTGCAGGTGGGGCAGGAGGAAGAGGGTGGGGGGTCTCCCTGGATCTCACAGGGGTTCATGCAGCCTGACTTGGCCACCACCCCACCCCTCCCTTTCCTGTTCCTCATCTCCGGCCAAACTGGCCCTAATTGTGGAGGAGGAGGGGCCTGCATGGGTCTGGGAGGGGCCCAGCGAGGGTGCTTTCACCCCCTCCTCACCTGGGCCTAGCCAGAAGCAGGAGGACCCCAACTTGGGAAGGTGGTGTGAAGCTCCCATGAAAAAGCATCGCAGTCCTGAGCCAGACCCATGCTCTCTGGTCTCAGTTTCCCCACTTATGAAATGGCAATGCTGAACTAAGTGACCTCCCAGAGCACTGCCAGGCGAGACAATCCAGCTGGGGTGTGTGGTGGGGTGAGGGTGGGCGTGGAGGCTATGGCAGTGGGAGGAGGGAGTCCTGGACCCGGACCAGGGAGGCCCTGGGGAACGGAAGGGAAACGAGAGGCCAGGGGGAAAGGAGGAGGGGGAGGAAGTCCCCTCCTGGCCAGGTCACTCCCAGAGGCTGGGCTGGGCCAGGGCGGGGCAGCCGATGGAGAGCAGATCTGAGCACCCAGCCACCTTCACGCCACTGCCCAGCTGCCCAGGAGCCCAGGAGCCCTGCCAGGTAAGGGGCTGCGCAGGCCTGTCCCCCTCCCCGCCCAGCCCCCAGCCCTCCAATGGTGGCCTCTCTTGGCATCTGTCAGGGCAGGGGAGATTTGCATGTCTGCCTGGGTGCCCACTCCCAAACTCGGGGCTTGTGGGCTGCCTTGGGTCCTGGGCGCCGTCTGTCTGTCTGACCATCCCTCTCAATCTTCCCTGCCCAGGACTAGCCACACTCCCAGCTCACGCATGCACACATACCAACAGGTACCGGCCACAGTGGCACCTCTGTAAGGGCTCTGGTCCACAGACACTGGGTCGTGGGGCTAGCCACTTGGGCAGAGGCTGAGTCCACCCATCTCCTCCAGGCCTTCAGAACACCTGCCACAGCCCCACCATGCTCATGGCATCCACCACCTCCGGTAAGCCTTGTCCCCCATGAGCCAGGTGGGCACAGTGGGTTTGACGATGCAGGGAAGCCCCTCTTTCTAAAGGCCTTCTTCACCCTTGCCTCTGGGGTGCGCCTCTCCAGGCTGCCAACAATCGGGGCGGGGAGGGTACTGTCCCACTTTCCTGCCAGGGCTAGGGCTGGGGCTGCCCTTCCTCCTGGACCACATGAGCCTGGGATATGTATCCCCCATAACATGGCTTTCCCGGAGTCCCCTCTGCTAGGAGCCAGGAAGTAGGTCTCCGGATGGCGGTAAGGGAGGCTGGAGGCCCAGGTTAACGGCTGCCTTGGCCACTGGCCCTAGCAGCTGGGTGGGAGCCTCCTTGACCCTGCGTTCCCCTGCACAGCACCCTCTCTAACCAGGCCCTCTCCCTGACCCCTGCCCAGCTGTGCCTGGGCACCCCTCTCCGCCCAGCCTGCCCAGCAACAGCAGCCAGGAGAGGCCGCTGGACACCAGGGACCTGCTGCTGGCCCGGGCAGAGCTGGCGCTGCTCTCCATAGTCTTTGTGGCCGTGGCCCTGAGCAACGGCCTTGTGCTGGCGGCCCTAGCACGGCGGGGCCAGAGGGGCCACTGGGCACCCATGCACATCTTCATTGGCCACTTGTGCCTGGCCGACCTGGCTGTGGCTCTGTTCCAAGTGCTGCCCCAGCTGGCCTGGGATGCCACCGACCGCTTCCATGGGCCGGATGCCCTGTGTCGGGCCGTGAAGTATCTGCAGATGGTGGGCATGTACGCTTCCTCCTACATGATCCTGGCCATGACACTGGACCGCCACCGCGCCATCTGCCGTCCCATGCTAGCTTACCGCCACGGAGGTGGGGCTCACTGCAACCGGCCGGTGCTGGTGGCTTGGGCCTTCTCGCTCCTTCTCAGCCTGCCCCAGCTCTTCATCTTCGCCCAGCGTGACGTGGGAAATGGCAGCGGGGTCGTTGACTGCTGGGCCAGCTTTGTGGAGCCCTGGGGCCTCCGTGCGTACGTCACCTGGATCGCCCTGATGGTGTTCGTGGCGCCTACCCTGGCTATCGCCGCCTGCCAGGTCCTCATCTTCCGGGAGATTCATGCCAGTCTGGTGCCAGGACCATCAGAGAGGACTGGGGGGCGCCGCCCGGGATGCCACACAGGCGGCCCCAGCGAGGGAGCCCGTGTGTCGGCAGCTGTGGCCAAGACCGTGAGGATGACGTTGGTGATTGTGGTAGTCTATGTGCTGTGCTGGGCGCCCTTCTTCCTGGTGCAGCTGTGGGCCGCGTGGGACCCGGAGGCGCCTCGAGAAAGTGGGTGTAGCTATGGCTAGGGCTGTGGGGGGCCACTTGGGTTTGGCCGCATGCTTCCGTGCGCCGCCAGCTGTCCCCCCAACCTCCACAGGGCCACCCTTTGTGCTGCTCATGTTGCTGGCCAGCCTCAATAGCTGCACCAACCCCTGGATCTACGCGTCCTTCAGCAGCAGCGTCTCCTCGGAGCTGCGCAGCTTGCTCTGCTGTGCCCGGAGGCGCACCCCACCCAGCCTGAGTCCCCAGGATGAGTCCTGCACCACCGCCAGCTCCTCCCTGGCCAAGGACACTTCATCCTGAAGAGCGGCTGGGTGTCTTGCCTCCAGAAGCTTTGAGAAGCTCAGCTGCCTTCCTGGAGTCCACTGGGAGGGGGACCCATGGAGAGCCAGCAAGAGCCTGGGGCCCTGAGCTAGCACATTGTGTGGCCCTGGACAAGCCGCATCCCCTGCCTGGGTCTCCACATCCTTAGCTGCATGAGGAAGGCCTCAGGTCCCAGAACTGTGGGGTCCTCAGGTCAGCTCACTGTGCTGGGTGTGGGAGGGCTGCAGCAGAGGGCTGAGGGGCAGGAAGGAGGGAGCAGGTGCCCCCAGGTGAGAGAGTGGTCCCGGGCCCCTCTAATCCCTCCCTTCCTCCCTCCGTTCTCATTCTCTCCCTAATAAAAGTTGCAGCTCATCCTCCACATGGCGAGGGGTCTCCTTGGATCAGGGTAACAGTGGTTGTGGAGGCAGCACAGAGACGTACACAGACCCCCCACACACACCCACAGTCACGTGCCCAGCTCCGGAACCCATGGCGCAAGCAGCCAAGACTTCAAAGCTGCAGGACCTGCAGGGGAAACTTCTCCAGCCTCCAGCACCCACCTGTGTACCCCTGAGACAGAGAGCTGGCTCCCATCGGGGAGTCAACACATAGGTCTTTATGAATCACAACGCAGTTCCGCCAGGCATCTGAGCAAGGGCGCCCGCCACCCAGCAGCCACTGACCAAGCCCTCCTCAAAGCTGCAGAGGAGGGTTTCCCCAGCCTCCTTCCTCAGCTGCCTCCCAAAGGGGCCTGGGCCAGGGCTGCGGGGCAGGCAGGGTATGGGGTGGGCATCCCTACACAGTGGCCTCATCCCACCTCTCGGCACTTGCTGGAAAGGGCTGGAGTGAAGCAAGGGGGCTGGGGAGAGTGGCCGGCCCAGCACCTCAGTGTGGCTTGGGGGTGGGGTCCAGGCCCTGGGGGTGGGAAACTGAGAGTGAGGCTGGGGCCCCAGGGCCCCGGGAGAAGCCTTTGTTCCTGCCCAGGCGGCTGCTGACCGGGGCCTTTGGGCTTCGGGGCCCAGGGCTGGGAGAGGTGACAGGTGCTGGCCCGAGGCACTGGCGGGCAGAGGCCTTTCCCAAGAGCTCCTTAAACACAGAGTCCATGTTCTGCGCCACAGCCTAGTGCAGGGGAAACAGTGACCATCAAGACCCAGAGCTCCGCCCACTCCCAAAGCAAGTCCCTCGGCCTCAAGGTCACTCTTCCCCAGTGTGCCCCCTTTGGTGTCTCTGTCACAGTCTCCTCTGAGGACAGCAATTCCTTGGCTTAGCCCAGAAGCGGGGACCCCTCTCTTCTTGCCCTCATCCTTTCCCTGGCAAAGATCACAGCCCGTCTGCCCACGGCCTCAGGAGCCGCCAGCAGCATGCGGGGACTCCCAGGTCAATGTCCTCCCGTGGCATCTCCCGGCTGTCCTGTCCCTGGTCCCGGCTCCTGCTCCTGCATGTCTACCGCACTCTCCCCAGGCTCCCTGGGCCCGGGGACTCGGCCACAACTAGGACACCTGCACACTCTTGGGCTCTCTCCTCCTCGGGCTTAGCCACTGTCCCCCGGGCTTCTCAGCCTGATGGTGCTCACAGGGCCCACGGTACAGAGCACGTAGCAGGGCCCATGCCGGGACCAAGTCAAGCCTGAGCTCTGCTCCTGCAAGAGTCACTTCTGCCCCACCCCGATCCCCAACCAGCCACCCCCTCCTGCGTCCCTGCCATCTGTCCCTTTCATCCTCCCTGGCATGTCAAGTGCCTGCCATGGCACCGCCTGTTACCTAGCCCAGCTACAGATACCAGCCTTGCAATCTGCCCTGGAATCCCCTGCGCCTACCAGGTAAACAGCCTCTACTCAGCCCTGCCACTTGCCTGCTCAGAAGCCAAACGTAAATCCCAACATGCAAGCCCTGGGTTCCAGCCAGATCAGGTGTCCTCTGTCCCTCTCATCCCTGCCTCCGTGGCCGTCCCTTGCCATCCCCACCTGCCCTCACAACCTTGTCTTCCTGTGTGTCTGGCGGCAGGTTCCCCTGAGCTGAGGCCAGGGAGTGCAGCTTGGCTCCCGAGGGGAGGCAGAGATCCCCCAGGAGAGGTGCCCTCACCTGCCACATAGCCAGTCCTGGCTCTCACCTTATCCACCTCCACGTGTTGCTCCAGACAGGCTGGGACCAAGCAGTGTCGCCTGTGTCCAGGGGGTCCCACGGCCTCGGGTGAGGTGCATGGCTCTGGCCTGCAGGACAGATGGGGAGCCTGGTGGGGGCCCTGGGAAGTCCCTGAGCTCACAGGGCAGTGGCTCCTCCCATCTTAGGGTGTGGCCAAGGAAAAGAGGCTGGCCCACTGGTCCCCAAGCTCCTCTAGAGCCTCTACCTGTCACAAGCTGGGTCACTCTATCACATCCTCATCTCACAACCCCTCCCGCTCCCACATGGCCAAAGCCTGACCCCAGTCTCCCCCGGCCTCAAACAGCACACGCATGGGTTCTCCAGTCCCATCTTCTTGCTCACCGGTAGCCCAGCTCTGATGCCAGGAGGCCCTCGGGGCTGCTCTCCGAGTCACCTGCAGTCTGCACGCCTGCGCCCACCCCCTGCTTCTCTGCCCTGCAGTGGGAAGGACCGGCCTGTTTTGAGGGCTCCTTTCCAGCACAGGTCTGGGCCAGCAGCCTCCATGCCAGCCAGAAGTGGTCAGAGATGCTCATTCTCCAGCCCAGCCCACACCTTCCGAATCTGACCTGGGGTCGAGGGCAGGCTGGACGAAGCGGGGGTGTGGAGACCCCGAGATCCCCAAGGGCGAGGCTCACTCACCCTGCAGGCAGCGTGATGTACTTGTGGGGAATGAGGCCCCGTGCGCCCTCGTGCTCTCCCCACCACCAGTCGCTCGATGCCCTCTCGTGCAGCCGCAGCACATCCCCACGCCGGAAGCTCAGCTCCTGGGCCGTGCGGCCCGCGTAGGCAAAGCAGGCCACAGCCTCCACAACCCCCTCCAGGTCTGGTGAGGAGAGGAGGTCCAAGCTGTGGGGGGTGTGGACACCAGGGCGGGGACAGGATGGGGCTCTCTGCCTACGGCCCTCACCATCCTCCTGGGCCAGTGTCTCAGCTTCCAACTCCGGCTCATTGTCTGGCCCCAGGCTCTCCAGTGGGGCGTCCCTGAGGTCAGGGTAGAGCGAGGTGGATGAGGGGGGCTCTTCTCCAGTGGACCCCCCAGTCCCCTCGGCAGCACCAAGGGTGTACCCCAGGCAGCGGGCGGAAGGTGGTGCCATGCACTTCTCGTAGACTGGGCCAGGCAGCTCGGTTAGGGATGGGAAGACCCGATCGGGCTGCATTATGAGTGTCTGCACCAGCTGGTTCACCCGGCCCTGCAGCGTCACCGGGTCCTGTCCAGCGGGCACGGGCAGCAGCGTGGGCCCAAAGCACACGGCCAGGTTGTAGGGGTCCATCATGTTCTCATCGCTGTACTGGGCCAGGCTGGGGGGATACTCACGTCACAAGCAGAGAGCCCACACACCAAGTCCCCTCGCCCCCTCGGCCCCGGCCCCCACCCCAGTGCTCGCCCCAAAGCACTCACTGGTTGAGGAAGGTGAAGAGGTAGCGCAGAACCACCAGGACTGGCGCTGGCAGCCGCCCCAGCAGGTGGCTCACATGCTCCACCCGCGCTGCTGTGGCCTCCAGCTCTGTGGCCAAGGCCACCCGGAGAGAGCCGTGTGAGTGAGTGCGGCTGGCTGCCCTACCAAGTGCCCTCCCCACACTGGTCTCAGGCCCTGGCCTCACCCGAAGAAGCCAGCAACTCGCTGAACAGGTCCGGGGGGAAGAGTGGGGGCTCCAGGCTCCGGAAGTAGAGCTTCAGCACCCCAGCCACCAAATCCAGGTCGTGGGCACTGCAGCCTTCCACCAGCGGGTCCTCCCCTGCAGATTGGCGAGTGATGCATGCGGTGCGGGGAGGAAGCTGGTGTTGTCTGCCCGAGCCCCCAAACCGCCCGCCCTGCCCGTCCCCACCTCTCTCGAAGGCATCACGGATCTCTGAGACCCGAAGCTGGGGACCCGACACCCGGAAGATGCCTTCGTGCTGCAGGCCTGCAGGAGGACAAGGAGCTGGTGGGCACTGAACATCTTCCCCAGCCCTGCCGGGATGGCCTCCCAGGCCAGGTGCCAGGAACTGGGTGCTGGGTGCCAAGATCCTGGGAGGGGCTGGGTCCTGCTCACCATTGAGGTTAATGAAGCGAATGCAGCTCTCCACCACCAGGGGCACAGACTGGCCTGAGCTCTGGGGACAGAAGGTGTTTACTTCACCGTGGACACAGCATGTCCTGTGTTGTCATTCAATTGCTTTTTTTTTTTTTCCTTTTTTTGAGACCAGGTTCTCACTCTGTCGCCCAGGCTATAGTGCAGTGGCACGATCTCGGCTCACTGCAGCCTCGACTTCCTGGGCTCAAGTGATACTCCGGCCTCAATCTCCCAAAGTGCTGGGATTACAGGCGCTGACATCATTGTTGTCGGCACAGAGGCCTAGCACACAGTTTCTTATATTCGCTCCTAGATGTCTGATATTTTTGATGAGGTTTTAAGCACTGACTTACGTTTTATTTGCAAATTGTTGCTGGAATATAAAAATGCAGTTCAATTCTGTACACTGACCTTGAATCAAGTAACATTTTGAAACTCAAGCTGGGGGTGGTGGCTTACACCTGTAATCCCAGCACTTTGTGAGGCTGAGGTGGGCAGATCACCTGAGGTTGGGAGTTCCAAACCAGCCTGACCAACATGGCGAAACCTCGTCTCTACTGAAAATATAAAAATTAGCCAGGTGGTACACACCTGTAATCCCAGCTACTTGGAAGGCTGAGGCAGGAGAATCACTTGAACCTGGGAGGCGAACATTGCAGTGAGCCAAGATCGCATCACTGTAACGCAGCCTGAGCGACAGCACAAGACCCCCTCTCTCAAAAAAAAAAAAAAAAAAAAAGTGTTCATTTAAAGATCTGTTGATTTTTTTTGAATGGTCTACACACATAATCATATCACTGAAAATGATGGCATCAGTTCCGATCTTTCTGATACTCTCCACGGCTGGTCCTTCCTTCCTTCCTTCCTCCATCCCTCCCTCCTTCTTGTTTTTGTTTTTTTGTTTCTTTTTTTTTTTTTGAGACCAAGTCTCGCTCCGTCACCCAGGCTGGAGTGCAGTGTTACAATTTTGGTTCACCGCAGCCTCCGCCTCCCAGGTTCAAGTGATTCTCCTGCCTCAGCCTCCTGAGTAGCTGGGATTATAGGCACATGTCACCACACCCAGCTAATTTTTTGTATTTGTAGTAGAGACAGTTTCACTATGTTGCCCAGGCTGGTCTCGAACACTTGGGCTGAAGTGATCTGCCCACCTCGGCCTCCCAAAGTGCTGAGATTACAGGTGTGAGCCACCACGCTTGGCCCTCTCTGATGCTTTCTGATATCAGTATTAGTTTTCTGATCTTTCCTGCTTCCCCTCATTTCACTGTCAAGGCCCCCCAGTACCATGCTGGCCAGAAGTTGCAGGGGAAAAGCTTTCAATATCTCACCCCTAAAAATGCTGCTGCCCCGAGTTTTCTGTATGTTCCCATTACTAGTTAATTATGCTCCCTTCGATCAGCGAAGGCCACGGGGAGCCCATCCAGGAAGGTACAGTTGGAGAAAGACCACCACATACAGGTGGGCTGGTGTGTGGGGCAGAGCAAGTACCTGGATAAACTTCTCCATGTCTCCCCCAAATAGTCTCTGGTTATACTGGGAGCTGGGGCGGGGGTGGCGGCTCTTCTGGAATTTTCTCTGCGTGTACTGGGTCCTGCGGTGAATGGGAGCTGGCTCTGAGGGGGCTGGGTGTGGAGAATGGGATGCCCCACCGCCCCCCGCTCAGCCAAGCAGGCCTCTAACCCTCTGAAGTGATTCCACAATTCAGTGGGAAGACGGGGAAATTGAGGCCCAGGGGACTGGGCAACTGAGTTGGGCCCCAGGGAGAGAAGAGATGGGGGAACCATCGCAGGGACCCAGCTCCTCAGAACGTGCCAGGCTCTCATGAAGGACTCACCAACACATTTCCCGCTCCTCCTTGTCACCTGTGGGGTGGGAGAACACTGGTCTGCCTCTCAGGCCAGGGGTCTTCAATGCATTCCAGAAAAAAAGGCATGGAGAAGGGCCAGGGACAGGCAGGCAGGGAGGACCTCGGGCCAGATAGGGTCCTGGGCAGGGGAGAGGCAGGGAAAGGGGCAGCACTGGGCCCACCTCGCTGAAGGGCCTCCTGCAGCTTCTCGTGCTTGGCCTGCAGCTTGGCAAGGATGCTGCGTCCACTCAGATACTCCTGGAGCTTCTGCGCAGCCCCAAGAAGAGCCCAAAGTTTAGCTCTGGCTTGAGCCCCTCCCTCTGCCCCAGCCACGCCCTGGTGGGTCTCGCCCACCAACCCAGCCCTCCCCACCGAGATATAGAAGGTCTCAGTCTCCTGCTGCTGGCCACGCCTTCGGCCTGCCTGCCGGCTGCCTGGGTCTGAGCTGGTGGACTTGAGGGACTCAGTGGAGGGGCTGGTCTGGAAGGAGTCGAGCACATCCCCGTCGTCCAAGGCCACCACCTCTAGCAGGGCCTGCAGCGTCGCCTTCAGCGTCTTGTTCACCTGCGCAGGAGACCGCACGAGGTTGGTAAGAGGTTAGGGGCAAGGAGGGAGACAGGAAGTCCAAGTCAGAAGGAAGGGGCCAAAGGGAGGGGGGCAGGCAGGGTGGCCACTTCCAACAGCAGGCTGTACAGGCTCCAGGTCCCCGTCTCCCCCCAACCCCAGGTAGGTCGCCCAGACCTCCTCTGTCTCGATGGTCTGTCGGTCCAAGCGGCTCTGGATGTTCTGGGCTCTGGGCAGAATCTCATCCCGCAGCTCCATTTCAACGCAGAGCTCAGCCACCTGCAGAGGGCAGCAGCCAGGGGGCTGAGGGCTAGGCTTGGGCAGCAGGTGCCAAGATCCCCAGGGCATGAGAGATGCAAGCACCCTTTTGTGGCCTGGTGGCCAGGCACAGGACCACCAGCCCAGACACTCAGCTGAAGAATGGCAGAAGTGAACACTTGCGTCCAAACCGAGACATGTACACAGAGTTTCATGGCAGCACCGCTCATCCGAGCCCAGAGGCAGGCGCAGCCGGAGTGTCCACCAACTGATGGATGGCTACACTCAGCACGGTCTATCCAAAAGAGGATTTGATTTGATTACAAGAAGGAACGAATCCACTTATGTAAAGCGTCCAGCCAGACAAATTTAGAGACAGGAAGCAGAGGAGTGGGTGCCAGGGGCTGGCGAGGGGAGTGGGGAGTAGTGGCTAATGGGTACAAGTCTCCTTTAGGAGGTGACGAAAATGCTCTGGAATTAGATGGTGATGGCTGCACAACTCTGAATATACTAAAAACCATGGAATTGCACTATTTATTTGGCCAGTACGGTGGTTCACGCCTGTAATCCCAGCACTTTAGGAGGCTGAGGTGGGCAGATAACCTGAGGTCAGGAGTTTGAGACCAGCCTGGCTAACATGGTGAAACCCAGTCTCCACTAAAAATACAAAACATTAGCTGGGCGTGGTGGTGCGTGCCTGTAGTCCCAGGTACTTGGGAGGCTGAGGCAGGGGAATTGCTTGAACCCAGGAGACAGAGGTTGCAGTGAGCCGAGATCATGCCACTACACTCCAGCCTAAGTAACTCCGTCTCAAAATAAATAAATAAAACAGAATGGCCGGGCGTGGTGGTTCACGCCTGTAATCCCAGCACTTTAGGAGGCTGAGGTGGGCGGATCACCTGAGGTCGGGAGTTCAAGACCAGCATGACTAACATGGAGAAACCCCATCTCTACTAAAAATACAAAATTAGCTGGGCCTGGTGGCACATGCCTGTAATCGCAGGTGCTCGGGAGGCTGCGGCAGGAGAATTGCTTGAACCCGAGAGGCGGAGGTTATGGTGAGCCGAGATGGCGCCACTGCACTCCAGCCCAGGCAACAAGAACGAAACTCCATCTCAATCAATCAATCAGAATGGTAAGGAAGACCGGGGTCCAAGACGGCAGGGAGGGCCCAGCCCCACCTCTTCTAGGGAAAGGAGTGGACAGAAAAACTGCTCACTCTAACTGGACAGACATAAATTTCCCTGTGGCAAGACGAGAGCAGCTTGCCACATGGGCAGAGTGGGGGCCAACACTTTAGGAAGGAAAGAATTACTCTTTTAAGCATGCAAACATCCAGAAAGCTACCATTACAATTAAAACTGAGACTGAGGACTCATCTGCAGCTAGACACTTGCCCTGCTCTCCATCCTCACCTGTCATACAGGACTGCATGAAGGCACAAGTCACAGAGAAGAAAGGAAGGCCATTCTGAGACGGGCTCCCACACGGCTGACCCTCGAGGACATGGGACTCAGTGAAAGAAGCCAGTCACAGAGAGGCCGGCACTGTAGGATTCCACCCCTGCGAGGGGCCTCACAGGAGAGCCGTGAACTCCTGGGGGACGGGCAGTAGAAGGGCGGGTGCCCGGGGCTGAGGGGTGGGGAGTTGGGCTGAACAGGGCCAGAGCTTCAGTTGGGGACGATGAACAGGTTCTGCGGCTGGATGGCGGAGATGGCTGCACGGCACAGGAGTGTGCTTATGCCCGGGATGCACACTTAAACATGGGGAGCGCGGTGTGTTTTACGAAATGTGTATTTTGCCACACATTTTTTTAAAAGTCCATCTAGAGTGCGCATGGTGGCTCACACCTGCAATCCCAGCACTTTGGGAGGCTGACGCGGGTGGCTCGCTTGAGCCCAGGAGTTCGAGACCAGCCTTGGCAATATGGTAAAACCCTTCTCTACCAAAAATACAAAAATTAGCCAGTCTCATAACCTGGTCTCAAACTTAATTTAATAGTTAATTAATTAAAATTTAAATATAAAATAATTTTTTTAAGTACAAATCTTAGCCAGGCATGGTGGGTGGCATGCACCTATAGTCCCAGCTACTCAGGAGGCTCAGGCGGGAGGATGACTTGAGCCCAGGAGTTGGAGGCTGCAACGAGCTATGATCACACCACTGCACTCCAGCCTGGCAACAGAGCCAGATCCTCTCTCTAGAGAAAAAATAAGTCTATGTATACCCTAGGGAACATTGGTATTTGATCCCTCCCTTAAACTCACAGGATCAGCAGAAAACTAAAGATTTGCTGTCTGGAAAGTATACAGCAGGGATTTGGAGTCAGGGACACTGGTCCCAGCTGAAAAAAATGAGTACAGCAGCCCCGCCATCGGGAGCTGGCCTGGTCCTATGAGCCTGGCCTCAGTGCTGCCCTGCTGAACACAGGAAATGTCCCAGAGCGTCAACATCAGGCAAGGCCAGTGTGTGACCATGAAGGGCGAAGACAGAAACAAGACCACCCAGCGATCATGTCTGAGTGAGGACAAAATCAAGAATTTCTTCCAAGCCACAAAATCATCCCTCCAGCCTGGCATCACTTCAGCCACCATCACTGTCTCCTTCTAGATATGATTCATCAAGACATCCAGTCATACAGTTACCCCTGCTTCCAGACGGCCTCCGGTCCAAGGCCCAGCCCCACTTCCCTGGGTGCTCCCCGAGATCCCCTCAGGCAAGCCTGAGTCCTCTAAGGCCCTTCTACCACCCTCTCGCTGAGAGGCCCCAGGCTCCCCCGGAGCAGGACTCCCTTCATCAATGGGGATTATAGCTGTCCCTGCTAGGCTTTGGCTGGATGGTGTGGAACTAAAACCAGTTCCAAGGAAGTAGTTCCAAGGAAGGTCCACACAGCAGAGTGAGCTCCCAGGCCTCTTGCCTCCTTCCTCCCTGGACAGGGTCAGAAGAGTTTCTACTGCGGAAACTGGCTGGGCCAGGAGGAAAGACCACAGACATCCACATTTGTGGGGGGGTATATGTTCAGACCTCCTCTTAAATATGAACTGATGACCAAGAATCACCAAACAGAGACCGAAGCAAGAAAAGAGAGCAAATGCAGGAGAAAACAAAATAGGACGTTTCAGGCCAGGCAGTGGCTCATGCCTGTAACCCCAGCAATTTGGGAGACTGAGGTGGGCAGATTACCTGATGTCAGGAGATGGAGACCAGCCTGGCTAACACGGTGAAACTCTGTCTGTCTCTACTAAAAACACAAAAATCAGACGGGTGTGGTGGTGCCTGCCTATAGTCCCAGCTATTCAAGAGGCTTAGGCAGGAGAATCACTTGAACCTGGAAGGTGAAGGTTGCTGTGAGCCAAGATCGTGCCACTGCACTCCAGCCTAGGCAACAGAGCGAGACTCCATCTCAAACAAACACAAATAAATAAAAGAATATAATAAAATAAATAAATTAGCCGGGTGTGGTGGTATACCTCTAATCGCAGCTACTCAGAAGGCTGAGGCAGGAGAATCGCTTGAACCCAGGAGGTGAAGGTTGCGGTGGGCCAAAATTGTGCCACTGCACTCCAGCCTGGGCGACAAGAATGAAACTTCATCTCAAAAAAAAAAAAAAAAAAAAAAAAAAAGTACTGTATTCATGAAATAAGAATAAAGGGTTGGCCCCGCACAGTGGCACGCCTGTAACCTCAGCACTTTGGGAGGCCGAAGCAGACCAATTGCTTGAGCCCAGAAGTTTGAGACCAGACTGGGCAACATGTTGAAACCCTATCTTTACAAAATATAGAAAAATTAGCCTGGCGTGGTAGTGCAGGCCTGTAGTCCCAGCTACACAGGAAGCTGAGGTGGGAGGACCAGAATGTTGTGTCTGCAGTGAGCTGAGATCAGATCACATCACTGGACTCCAGCCAGAGTGACAGAGTGAGACCCCATTTCAAAAAAAAAAAAGAGGCCAGGCGTGGTGGCTCATGCCTGTAATCACAGCACTTTGGGAGGCTGAGGAAGGCGGATCATGAGGTCAGGAGTTCAAGACCAGCCTGGCCAAGATGGCGAAACCCCATTTGTACTAAAAATACAAATACTAGCCAGGTGCAGTGGCAGGCGCCTGTAATCCCAGCTACTCGAGAGGCTGAGGCAGGAAAATTGCTTGAACCCAGGGGACGGAGGTTACACTGAGCCGAGATTGTGCCACTGCACTCCAGCCTGAGTGACAAAGTGAGACTCTGTCTCAAAAAAAAAAAAAAAAAAAAAAAAAAAAACAGGATACGAACATTTGCAGATATGCAAAGTCAGGAAACCCTTGGTGAAGGCTTCCACCAAAACGAGGGTATCAAATCAAGAAATGCTGCCATGGAATCCAAAAACAGAGCACTGGGCAGGGGAGCTCCCGGCCAGCAGCTTCAGAGCAGGCCTAGAAGTGAAGCCGTTTAGACTGGAGGGCTCTGGGGGCACCACAGAGGAGAAAGTGGGCCCCAGAGGGTGCCTGGTGTGGAGGACAGTGCTGGGACGAGGCAGCGATCAACTCCTAGCAATGAGCAGCATTCCTGAGGCGAGGCTGTTATTAATTCCGGAAGAAAAACTGTCCAAGCTGAAGGACACGTGATCCTAATAGTACATGGCTTAGCTGCCAACAGTACCTGTTGTCATGGTGATTTAAACATTGAATGTTCATTGAGCCAAAAATTCTGGAATAAACTCGCTGGGAGAACAAGATGCAGGGAAGCATGTGGTGGCTGTGGGAGATGCTGGTGGTGCTTGGTTGTCACTGGCCAATGGAAAATGGCTGCTTGACGCTTGGAGGGGGCGCCAGAGGCATCCGTAGGAAGACTGGAGGTGGAGCTAGGAACAGGAGGGGTGGGTTTGGGAGTGGCTGTGTGCCATCAGAAGCCCTGGTGAGGCTGGACTCTTTGGAAAGGGGCCCAATGTAACCCCTAAGGAAAAACCAGCTGGAGGGAGAAGTCGAAAGAAGCCCAATCCGAGGTTGCAGTGAGCCGAGATCACACCACTGCACTCCAGCCCGGGCAACAGAGTGAGACTCCGTCTCAAAAAAACAAAAAACAAACAAACAAAAAAAACCAATTCCATCTTACCGCGTGTATGGTTCATTTCCTCCCAAGTTTGTGTCACAAAATTTAAAAACACAATGAAACCAGCCTAGAACAATGTACGGGCAGCCACACGGCCACCTGCTGCATGGGGTGACAGTTAGTGTCTTGCCTTCCTTGGACACTTCTGTAGCAGCTGCACTGCCTGGGACCACGGAGAGCTTGGATTCCTGAGCAAAACGTGAGTCACGCCACCCTACCACCTGCCATTACAGTGAAGGCCAAAGAATGTTGAGCCCAGCAGGGGTGACCCTCACCTCATCCCCGTCGTGGGGCTGGTAGTCAAAGCGCAGTGGGGGACAGAAGGCGATAGCATGCACCTCGAGCACCTTGGCCTTGTCTCCTGGAGGATCCAGGGACTCCACGGCTTCTTCCAGGCTGCCCAGGCCCTGCACTTGAGAGGCCTGGGCGCGGCTCTCAGCAGCCGTGTAGCTCCGCAGCACCTGCCCTAGGGCCAAGTGGAACCCTGTGTCGCAGCACTGAGGGGAAACAAGGACATGCTTGGGTGGGCACTGCAGCCTCGGCCTCCCAGCCCCGGGGCACTGGGCACCTTTTCCCACCCGTCCACCAAGGACTCACGTCCATGAGGTCCAAGACGTCATGCAGGTAGTAGTTCCTGACAGCGGCATTGACGCTGGCCAGGCTCAGCAGGTACTCGTTGCGTGCCTTTGTGCACTTGAGTCTGTGTTCCATGAACTTGGCCTGCCGCTACTCAAGACAATACAAGCCCACTCTAACCACAGCAGCCAGGGAGACCTTCCCCCGACACAGCCAAACTCTGCCATTTCCTCTAAGAAACTCCCTCCTCTGCTCCCAGAGTCCCAGACCATCACCCCCAGCCCCACACAGCCTGACCACTCCATCCACGCGTTTCCCAACCTCCCCACTCTCTCTACAGGGCCCAGCTTGAAGGCCCTTTCTCTGTGCGTGTCACCCGATCACCCACCCTAAGTGTCTTCTCACCCCTCTGAAACCTTACAGCGTAGCTGCTGGAAGAGCAGAGCTGCAGGGGCCCCGCCTGGAGTGCGCAGAGGCTGCATGAGGCTGCCCAGGGCCAGACAACTGCTCTCCCGGCTCTCTCAGGCCTGAGAGCCTTCCGTATGGAATCCCTGGAACCTGATGGCACTGTCCTGCCATTCCTGCCCCCAGCTTGGGGAAGTCACCAGAGCCAGCAGGGTGAGTGGGTGTGGGCCCTCCACTCCCAGGTGGGGAGGGTCTTGCTGAAGGGGTGCAGCCCTCCCCTGCACCCAGTCCTGCGTCCCCCTCAACACAGCAGGTCCTAGTTAGGGCCCATAGCCCACAGGCTTGCTTCTGAGGTGCCCTCCAGGCCCACCTTCTCCACCAGCCGCCCACCCTTCTTGAGGGAGGTCTTGCGGAGGGGCCCTGCCTCAGTGGCAGCAGTGGTGGCAGTGGGTGCGCTCCGGCCTGCCCGCTTCTCCTCCTGCCGCTCGGCCTCCCGGAGCTTGGCTTCAGCATTTACGCTCTCTGTGTGATACACCTGGTACGTCTTCTTGGCCTGCAGGGACACCCAAAGCAAGGTGGCGCTGCTGAAGGTCACAGCCGGGCCAGTCCCCAACCCTCCACCCCCGCCCCTCTGCAGCTTGAACCTCAGAGCTGGGCAATCCCATGTGAGCACCTGACCTAACGCTCTGTGCCTAGGGAGACGGGGCCTTTGCCCCTGAACCCCCGAATCCAGGACTCCCCTAGGTGCACACTTCTCCCTGAGCCTGGTTTGGGGCAATGTGATGGTCTGGGGATTTTCCTCCTTAATGAGTATCATTTCTCCCTGAACTGTTGGGACGGGCCCCTCCCCAGCCCCGTCCTCACCGTCTGGAGCTCCGAGACCACCTCCAGGAGCTCGTCCTGCAGCTGCTGCTCCAGATCCCTGCTCTAGATGTGGAGGCAAGGGTGAGCAAGCCACAGCTCAGAGCAGCACGCACCAGCACTCGAGGCTCTGCCCAGCTCAAGCCCCATCTGGGGGGCACACAGGTTCACTCTGCCTGGTCCCCACCTGGCCTCCGGTGCCCTCCCAGCCACGGCAACTCCCGATCCCAAAGCCTCGAACACCTCCCATAGCCCAGGGTGAGAGTCTCACCTTCTTGACCAGGCGCCCCACGTCCTCGGCAATGTGACTCAGGCGCTGGGCCAGGGGCCCAGCCAGCACCTCGCTGAGGGCCGCGCTCTCCCGGCTCTGTTGCCGCGTGTGCTGCAGCAGCACTGCCCAGCAGTGAAAGGGTGACAGGAGGCACGGCTCCTTCCTGGGGGTAGATGGGCACTGAGAGCCAGGAGTGGGAGCTTGGGCCCTGCCATGGCCCCCCTGCCAGCACATCACCTACCTGAAGCTTTGGTGCTCCCGGCTGCTCCCCAGGCGGCCTCCGCGGCTGGAGAAACGCTCGGCCAGCTTTTCCAGGCCCCGGGAGTACTCCAGCTCCACCTCGGCACGTCGCCGCATGAACTCTGCCAACTCCTGCAGCAGCTCCCGCCGCAGCTCGCCCTGCAGCTCCAGGCAGCGCAGCTGTTCGCTCAGCTGCCAGCGCATCTCTGTTGGGAGACCATGGCTCAGGCCTGGCCAGCACGCCCTGCCTGGGTCAGCCAGGCCAGCATGGGATGGGAAAGGCAGAGACACACAGACCCCGATCCCATCTGCTCTGAGGGCTCCTTTGGACTTAGCATAGGCTGACGGCAGGAGCTAAGAGGGAGGAAAGGGGCTAGGCCCCTGCAGGCAGATCTGGCCTCAGCTGTCCAGCTGACCTCTGCTGAGGCTAACAGGAGATGGCCAGACCCACTCGGTTGAGGAGGAAGGGGAAGTGTGTCCCAGCAAGAGGGGAGAGCCGTGCAAAGGCCCGGAGTGAGAGGGAGCAAGGCCGCCCTGGGAAGGGTGAAGCCCACCATGGTGAGTGAAACACAGACCCAGCCCCGTGTCACCCCAACACCAGCCAGGCACCTTTCGTTTTGACTTCCTGTCTCTCCGTCGTTCCTGGAAAGCCCCTGAATGGCTTCCCCTGCCACTTCCTTCCCCACCGGTACCCAGGCCCCGGGCAGCCTCCCTTGCGAACACAGAGATACACAGCACACAGATCACAGCACTGCTCAGGGCAAGCCTGCAGCAAACTCGCCGTCTCAGTGGCTAGGGAACCCTGTCCTCAGGCCCCAGGGGAAAGGGCAGTCCACAGTGAGGGCTGCGTGCCAGGGAGAGCTGATCCAGCCTGATAAGTGAAAGGATGGGGGAGGGAGCTAGCCCCTGTCTTCTGTCCCCACTTCCCACTCCCAATCACCCTGCCCACACCCCGTGCAGACAGACAGCCCCACCCAGGGCCCCATACTGCCAGCCGTTTGCACCCTATCACTAGCTTGATTTGGCAATGCTGCTTCCCTGACACAGGCCTGAAGCAAAGAAGTACCCACCCGGCAAGTTAAAGCAACCTGCAGAATACACTTTTGCCACCTGCAGATGATATCTCGGCCTCTGGCCAGCAGGCTGCCCACCTACTCATCGCCATCCACATCCCAAGGGAGGGACAAGCACGTCCTAGATACAGAGGCAAAGAGGGTTGACCAAGTGTCTCCCCTCCTGGAGCTGGGATTGGAACGGGGGCACAGACACATGTCCGTGGAGTGATGGGTGCTGAGAACATGAACACACAAAGCAAGATCAAAGCGGGGGCTGGGGGGTGTGGCAAGGAGCTCTTTTTAAAGGAGGGTGGTCAAGAACAAGCCTCATCGTTGGAGCAAAAAGCTGGAGCTGGCTACGAGGCGTGCCGGGAAGAATCCGAGAGGCTGGTAGGGACAGATGGCACAGAGCCCACGGTTTAGGGAGAATTCCCAGCTGGACTCCTAGTGAGAGAGGAGTTTCGTTTACAGGCCCCATCGCACTGCCTGGTGGAGCCCAGGTGGCAGCTACTGCACTAGTCCAGGCAAAAGACTGCAGGGTTTCAGACCGGGACCAGTGCGGGAGGACTCCGCTAGGAACAGCTCAATCTTGTTGGATTTCTGTCCCACCAGTGACTTCCCAGGGGTTGCTGCATGAGGACCCTGTGGGTGTGGCCTGCTCGGCATCCCTACCTCCTCTCTGATCTCCTCTCGCAGAATGTCCACTCCCTAGTCTCAGCCCCCTCAACTCCAGGTGCCCCAGCCCTGACTGCATGCATCACCCACCCCTCTGCCCCTCCACTCCCTGCCCCCACCAGACTAGCCAGGTGAGGGACCCAGGAGCCTGACCCTTCCGATGGAATCACCGAACAGGAGAGCTCTTCCCACCAGAGGACCAAGCTGTGTAAGTGGAAGCCTGGGGCGGGGGACCTCCCGACAAAGCAGAGCAGAGCCCACAGTGCCAAGGGAGACAGATGGAGAGTGTTCTCATCCTATCAGAGGCTGGCCTCCTGTGGTTGACTGGTCAGCTAGAAAGGCCGGGTGGGGTAGGCGCTAATGCCATTTGAAATCAGGAGACTCCTCACTGAATCTGTTTAATGTTTTGTTTTGTTTTGAGATGGAGTCTTGCTCTGTCGCCCAGGATGGAGTGCAGTGGCGCCACCTCAACTCACTGCAATCTCCACCTCCCGGGTTCAAGTGATTCTTTTGCTTCAGCCTCCCGAGTAGCTGGGACTACAGGCACCCAACACCACGCCCGGCTAATTTTCGTGTTTGTATTTTTAGTAGAGATGGAGTTTCACCATGTTGGCCAGACTGGGTCTGAAACTCTTGACCTCAGGCGATCTGCCCGCCTTAGCCTCCCAAAGTTCTTGGATTATAGATGTGAGGCACCTCACCCAGCCCAGTTTAACATTTTTTTGATAAAAGTAAATTCCATAGACCGGGTGTGGTGGCTCAAGCCTGTAATCCCAGTACTTTGGGAGGCTGAGGTGGGCGGATCACCAGGTCAAGAGATTGAGACCATCCTGGCCAACATGGTGAAACCCTGTCTCTACTAAAAATACAAAAATTAGCTGGGTGTGGTGGCGTGTGCCTGTAGTCCCAGCTACTTGGGAGCCTGAGGCAGGAGGATTGCTTGAACCCGGGAGGCGGAGGTTTCAGTGAGCCGAGATTGTGCCACTGCACTCCAGCCTGGCGCCTGGTGACAGAGCGAGACTCTGTCTCAAAAAAAAAAAAAAAAAAAAAGTAAATTTCATTTCATTCCAAGAAAGGTCGTAGACGACTGCTTGCCTCACCGTCCCTCTGGAGCCTGCCCTGCCCTCTTCCCCGAGAGGAATACAATCCCTGGGGACTTATGACAACTGAACAGTGCAGAAAGAACCAGCAGAGAGAACCGCTGCCTTTCTTCATCACTGCTGGCAGCAAACACTGACTGGAAGTCATGTCCCGGTCCAGATCCGGGCATGCACACTGGCTGGTGTTGAGCAGGAAACGTGAATTGCAAGTCGATTGCATTGGTGGCTTTCCCGGCAGAGCTTTCAGATCTCAGTTCAGACAAACTCGTCAGCACACCCTGTCCTGACCTCCCCCTAAATTAGGGCTGGCCCTCTTCCGACCCCTTCATGGCACCCTGCACTTTCCTTTTGCAGTGCTTATTATCCTAATGGAAACTCTATGTCTCCGCCACTAGACCCGTGAGCCAATGTGAGTGGGGCACCGACGCCATCTGAAATCAGGAAAGTCCTCACTGAATCGTTTTTACTCTGGGTAAAAAGCCAGGGCTAGAGGAGCTGGAGGGACTGGAGGGGCTGGAATCTGGGCCTGGGATAGCACAGATATATAGGAAACATCTGGCCAAAGGCGAGCTGGAATCCATGTTTGCCTGAATTACACAGCACGGCCAGGCTCCACTAGCACTTCCTGTGAGCAAGGCATTCAGTCTCACTTCTGCTGACAAGCAAAACAGAAGAGATGATGGTCTCCAAAACCATGGCTATGCTGACCTTTGAGAATTTAGGGTGTCAAGACAGTGACCCCCGTTTTGTAGCATGGTAGGATGTTTTTCCAGGGAGTGGGACGCAGACCCAGAGCAATCAAGGAACCCTTAGACAGTCCTGCTCGAAACCCCAACTTTTCAATGGGAAATCACTGACCCATATTTGCTGATTGAAGTTTTCCAAGTCTTTCAGCTTCATGGCATTTTGGGGAAGCAGGATGGAGATCATTACCTCCATCTGAACAAGATGGTGGTGAAGCTTGGAAAGCTGGCTCACCCTGTGTAGTTACCTCAAGCTGGCTCTGGACACAGGCTGCCTCTTCCAAAGGAGGAGGACTGGGGTATATTTTGGTATAAATTGCTTGCACTGAATAATGAGGTTGGAACCTACATCTCTGGGTTGAAAGGCACTTCAAGGGCCATTGCATTCTATGTCCTAGAAGTTGTAGTGCTGTGTGACTATGGGCAAGTCACTGCACCTCTCTGAGCTTGTTTCGGTAATTGGCAAAATGGAGTGATTGAGAGTGATATGGAGGAGCTGCTGGCGCTGAGATGTTGCCTTTCTCCTTTGCAAGAGTTACCATGCCCTGAATAAGATGGGCACAAGCAATTGGCTAAGAATTTGCAAAGCTGATTTGCATGTGATTTGCACATAGGTGTTTATCACAACCCGAAGAGGTTCAATTTCAGAAGACTGAGAAGCCAGCCCTGCTGAATCGCTCAACCAAGACTCACTGCGCCAGCCTGACCCAGAGACAGTGGCCCTCGCCTCTGATCCCCCTCAGTGCCAAAGAGAGGCAAAAGGTGCTGGGGCTCCAGGGACTGCAGCGGGGTTAGGGCCAGGTGATCTACACCAATCCAGTCATCCGGACTCCCTTACCCACTCCCCAGCCAAATGAAGGTGGTGGACTTCACTGCAGCTAGAACACTGCCTCCTGGGGGCACGTTGGTGCATCCGGCTCCCCTTTACCAGCGGCCACCAGTGTCTCCACTGGGCCTTGGGTGAGGAACAGAGACCAAAGGAGAACAGAGACCAAACGAAGGAAGAGAGGAAAGGAGAAAGGGAAGATGGCAGGCGGTTGAGGCCAAATGGGCGTGCGGAAGCCCGCAAGGGGCTCGGGCTCCCTCCTCCACCCACTCCAGAGGTCGCTGGGGAGAGCATCGGGCCCTGGGTAAGTGCGGGGACGCTTGGAGCGCCCTCACGACCTTGGGAGTCTCCGCAGGAAACGGGCCGGGAGCGCCCGGCGCCCTCTCACCTTTGACTTGCGTCTCATACTCAGCCTGCAGCCCCCGCTCCCGCCGCAGCTTCCCGTGAGCGGCCATGGCGGCCTGGCGGCCGCGCCGTCGAGCCCCACTGCTCCCACGCGGCCGCGAGCAGGCCCGGCGCCGGGACTTCGGGGCGCTGCGGCCAGCACCCGGAGCGGGCTCCGCCCAGCCCCGCCCCCAGCGCGGCTCCTGGTGGGGCGGGGCGGCCCAGGCCTGGCACTGCCCGCGAGGGGCTCCTGGGAGCAGGGCGCCCCTTGCAGCCCCACTGTGCCCCGGCCTTGTCGTCCCCTCCCACTGGGCCTGCACCTAGGCTGCCTTGTGCCGAAAGCCCCGCTGCCAAGGGACTGCAGCGGGGTTAGGAGTGGGGCGGGTGTGAGAGCCCGAGGTAAGCGGGCATCCCTGGCTGCAATCCTGCCACCACCTCCAGAAGGCTGTCCGTGGTCACCACTGCCAGACTGCACCGTTCGCAGCGGGGCCGCTGGCACACAGAGCCCGTGGACATGAACACCACTGCTGCCCCAGGCCCTGGACTGCCCCTGGGTTGCTGCTTCCCCCAGACATCGGACGCGGTCGTCCCTTCACAGGGAGCCTTGAGAGCTGGGGTGGGAAGTTTGGAGGGGAGGAGAAGGAAGGTCATCGCCAGAGAGCAGAACCTCAGCCCCTGGCTGCTGTTCCCTCCAGGACCCCTTGGTGGGGGAGCAGGGTTCAGCTCTGGTTCCCCTTCTGCTCAGCCCCACAATTTCCACATAGGCGGTTACCACTTCCTGCTGCCGGAAGAGACTGCTCTGCCTCCCTTCCCCTGCAGCTGCACCTGCCCATCATAGAACTGAGGGGGGCAGTCCGCTCAGAGTAAGGTCTTAGCTACCCTGGGGGCAAGTCTGGGGCTTTTCCTCCACCCACTACCACAGGGCAGCAGCTTTTCTCTGGGAAATCGGGAAGGCAGGAGGCAGGAGGTTGTTGACATGCCAAGCAGACAGCTGGTTTGCTGGGAGGGAAGTCCCTGGGATCTAGACTTGGGGAGAGGGACAAAGCACTTGGACACCAGGAGTGTGTCCCGGAAGTGGGCCTGCGGGCACCAGTACAGGGGTCCTAGGCGTGTATGTGCACGGATGTCAGAGTCAGGCTCTGTGCAAATGCGGGCACACATGACCTTGACCTGCAGATCTGGGGAGGACGGGAGGCTGTGCAGGTACTTCCTGCCTTTCAACTATGAGCAATTAATTCTCTTGCCCGGAAGGAAAAAACACTCCCTTAGCTCCCCGCCCCCTTCTCCCAGTACCCAGGCCCTTCTCGAAGACGTTGTTGTGTGGCTCTGCAGGACCTGAGGCTTCCCGGCCTGGGAACTAACCAGACCCAGGCAGGCTCAGGACCTGGACTTCCAGCAGCTGGTCTCAGAAATGCTGAGGTTCGAGTCCTCCAGCAAGCCCAGCGAGCCTTCGCCCCTGCCCACGGCGCGCACAGCCGCACCCACACCCCAGCCTGCTCCTGCTCAGGAGACTCACACGTCCCACCCGCTGCCTCAGGCCAAGGGGAATCAGGGACCCCCGCCCCTCATTAGCTGACCCCAACACACCCTGCTCCTCCATCCGAGCCCCGACTGGTCCCCAAAGGTCCCTCCACCCAGCAGAGACAGGCACAGGGCTCAGGCAGGCAGGAAAGGGCTCGGTCCGTGCCTCAAACGCTCTCTTCACTGCTTTTCTCACTCCAGAGCTATTCCTAGGATGCCCCATTCAGCCCGTGCTTTAGAACCTGAGTGTTGCGCCCTGGCTTTTAGGGCACTTGTGTGGCATTTAAGGCCCTGAACTCAACTGTCACCTGCTGCTCGCTCCATCATTAGCTCAGCTGTTCCCCTTCAAAGCATCCTAAAGCCAGGCAGCCCGCAGAAAGCGCGGACCTGCCCGCGTGGGGACTGAGGGAGCGGCGGACAGGCATCGAGCCCGCTAGGGACTGAGGGCAGAGGGCGGGCCGAGCAGGGGAACGACGGCGCCGTCGGAGCCTGGCCCAGCTTCCTTCCACTGGCGCCGGTGCCCGGCCGACGCAGTGCGCATGCCCGCCCTTCCCCCCACCCCCCCAGCGCGCAGAGCTCGGCGCCGCCGAACCAATCAGAGCCTGGGAACGAGGCTTGCTGCCGGCTTGCGAACCGGAAGACATTGTCGCCAGGCACGGGGCGGGACAGGGCGCCACCTCCGGCCCATACAAAGGGAAGCCCACGTCTTGAGCCAATCAGAACACAGCCTCGCCCGAGCCGGGAACTGGAAAGCTGTGGGCGTGCGGAGGCGCGACTTTCCGGTCCCGGCCCCGCCCTGCCGAGCTCTGGGCTCGGCTTCCACCGCGGCAGGCTGCCTGCTGGTCACGTGCGACACGCCAGCCAACGAGAACCGAGCTCCAGGCGTGTTTGGCGAATTTTCAACCTGGCGGAGCAGCAGTGTGCCACCAGCAGTGGCAGAGACGTTGTGTATAGAGACAGCTTAGGGATACAGGGCCCGCCCAGGGACTAGGGACAGCAAATGATGACGGAGTAAAGACACAGGAGCGAGCGTTATGGTAAACAGGATTTTTATATATATGTATTATGTATTTTTTTTAGATGGGTCTCTGTCCCTGGAGTGTGGTAGCATGTATGGAATCACAGCAACCTCCACCTCCCAGGCTTAAGCGGTCCTCCTGCCTCAGCCTCCCGAGTAGCCGAGATGACAGGTGTGCACCACCACACCTCGCTAAGTTTTCTTATTTTTAGTAGAGATGGTGTTTCACCATGCTGCCCAGGCTGGTCAACTCCTGAGCTCAAGTGATCCGCCCACCTCAGCCTCCCAAAGTGCTGTGATTACAGATGTGAGCCACCATGCCCAACAGCTGCCTAGTTTGTATTCTGCATGAAATTGTAATGGGGGATACATAGCTTTATGCATTTATGTAACCCCATAGAAACTGTATAACACAGACAAGGACCCTAATGTGAAACATGGGCTACAGTTTACAATAACATCAGTATTGGCTCATCAACAGAAACAAACACACCAACTAATAATACAAAATGTCAGTAGGAGAAACGGGCGGAACTGTACTAAAAATCAATTATTTTCAACTGCGAACTCAGGTTAGGGAGCAGACCCAAGAGGTATCAATGGACTCACTGACCATTAGGATGGCAAGGGAGGGAGGACTCAAGGACCACTGACGGGGCTTAAGCAACTGGGCATCTGGCTGGGTCATTACTCAGACAGGATAGCTGTGACTAGACCCATCCTACATCTGAAGCGCACGGGTATGCAGTGGAGCTGCTGTAGCCCAAAGCAAGTGTGATTAGGAGAGAAAAGGGCTGGAGGTGGGACATTCAAGAGCCAAGCAGAAGCACTGAAGGCCACCAAGAATGGGAGCCCGCTGTTGAGCTTTGAGCCTGGGCGGCCCAGGCTTGCACAAAACATTCAGCGTGGCCGAACAGGCCTCCAAGGCAGGGTCTCTCCCGGAAGTCCAGTGCCTCCTTCCTTGGGGCCACAGCTGCTGAAGGTCATGAGACTGGGGAGTCCCACCCCCAAGGCTCTCACAAAGCTCTTCCCTTCTACTCAGGCCTGGCAGGATGCCCTGGGTCAAAAGTCTGTGAGGCTCACATCCCCACCAGACAGAGGAGCTGGAGAAACACACCTTCTAAACGTGCTCGCGCATGCATGCGCACACACACACGCGCACACACATGCGCGCACACACACACACACACACACACACACATGAAGTTCCCCAGTGCCACGGAGCGAATTTATTGTGAAAGCTCGTGGGTTGAGGAAGGGATGGGGCAGGCTCTAGGAGGCTGAGTCGGAGGCCTCTGAGCTGTCTTTGACATCTGTGCTCTCTGTGGTCTCGCTGACCTCGCTGAGGTCCTTGCTGTCCCCACCACTATCCTCGGCAGCCAGGCCCTTCTCCTCGCGACAGGCCTCTCCTGAGCTCGGAGGTGAACTGCCTTTGCTCTCCACCTTGTTCTCGATGGCACCCAGCACCACGTGCCTGCCCTTCTCCTTCAGCTCCAGGTGCCGCCTCAGCTGCCGCCAGGAGCCCAGGGAGAAGCGGGAGCAAAAAGACAGGGCCTAAGTTTCCAGACAAGGGGAGCCTGGACCTGTCACTGGCTGAGGGGAGGGGCATAATGAGAAGCAGCAGGGCTAGGCAAGACACATGGGACTGAGGGGGGAACACCTGGCTGGAGCCTTGCTAACTGCTCCCTGGGTTCACTGACTACCATGGAGGCCCCCATGGCCGAGTGCTGCCACCTTGGGCAGAACCCTGACTCAGAACTACCTCTGAGCAGGCAAGCCACCCACTGGTCCCAGGCTGTCCCACTTCCCTTCTAAAAGCCTCCTCCCTCTGCCTCTCCCACCACCCTCCAGGCTGCTGCTAGGCAGACAGCTTCCTCTAAAGCCCAGCCCAGGAAACTGAGGCCGTGACTCCTGGCAGTGTGGCCACAAGGGCTGGCACCTAAAGTTGGTCTTGCCTCCAGCCACTGTCCCAGGGCTCCCAAGTGCCACCACCTCCCCCCCTGCCCGCATGGCCGACCCCACTGGCCTTGCTTGGCTTCATTGCAGCGCTCTCACCTCGTCGGCCATCTGGGTGAGATCCCGCTTCATGGCGTAGGCATCCTCCCCATCTGCATAGTATTTGGGCTCCACTTCACTGATCCTGGGGGCAGAGGGCAGAGAGCAAGGAGGAAGACCCAAACCTGGGGCACATCCTCCTCCGCTCCTGGCATCATAGCTACTGAAGCAAGGTGCCATGTTTTCTCCCTGAAGGCTCCATCCTAAGACAGCAAGTCCAACCTGAAAGAATCCTCCAGTGGCCCCACTTCCAGTGCGGCCTGACCTCTGCTCTCTCCAGCAAAGGCTCCAGGTAACAGTGGCCCGCCCCACCCCTGTCCGGACCCTGTTCTATGTCCTTAGCCTGGCTACTAAGGATTCCCCTTCTGTGGTTTCTTGTGAGCTGAAGCCTTGAATTCAGCCTTCCCCTTCCCTTTCTTCCCTGCTTCCTATCCCTTACTGAGCTGCCTCACCACAGCTATGAGAACGCAGGAAAGAGGGTGAGCCCTTTCGAGGGCAGGCATCCCTACGCAGCATGGCCCGGCCTGCACTGGGGAGGTACGCATGCAGGCTCGGGTGGCCACGTCCCTGGAAGGCTGGCCCTGTCAGACCTCAGACATGAGAACTGTTGACTTCATTACAAAGCAGCTCCCACCAGACATCGTCATC